CTTCATCCTCAGCAGGATCATCATAAGAATCATCATCATCATCATCATCACCATCATCATCAACATCATCATCAGCAGCAACAGCAGCATTCGCATCAGCACCAGCATCATCATCATCATCATCATCATCATCATCATCATCATCATCATCATCATCATCACCATCATCATCATCATCATCATCATCATCAGCATCAGCACATCAGCATCAGCATCATTATCATCATCATCATCATCATCATCATCATTCTCATCCTCATCCTCATCCTCATCCTCATCCTGATCCTCATCATCATCATCATCATCATCATCATCAGCCTCAGTATCATCAGTATCATCATCAGCAGCATCATCATCGTCATCAACAGCATCATCAGAATCATCAGAATGATAATCCGCATCATCAGCATCATCATCATGACCATCATCATGATCGTCTTCATCTTCATCCTCATCATCATCCTCATCCTCATCCTTATCATCATCATCATCATCATCATCATCATCATCATCATCATCATCATCATGCTCGTCATCATCATCAGCATCATCATCAGCTCCATCGTCATCATCAGCATCAGCAGCAGCCTTATCATCATCGTCATCATCATCATCATCATCATCATCATCATCGTCATCACCATTCTCATCACCACCACCATCATCAGCAGCTGTAACAGCAGCATCATCATCATCATCACCATCGCAGCAGCAGCGCTATCATCAGCATCATCATCATCATCATCGTCATCAACATCATCCTCACCATCATCACCAGTCACACTCATCACAATCATCATCATCATCATCATCAGCAGCAGCAGCCGCACCCTCATCAGCAGCATTATCTTCACAATCGTCATCATCAGCATCATCATCATAATCAGCATCATTATTAGAATCATCATCATCAGCATCATCATCAGCAGCATCAGCATTAGCATCATCATCATCAGCTTCATCGTCATCATGAGCATCAGCAGCAGCCTCATCATCATCATCATCAGCATCATGATTGACAGCCTCATCATCATTAGCATCATGAGCATCATCATCAACATCAGAATCAGCATCAGCATCAGCATCATCATCATCACCAGCATCATCATCATCATCATCAGAATAATCATCATCGTCGGTATGACCATCACCAGCATCATCATGATCAGCAGCATCATCAGCAGCACCATCAGCATCCTCATCATCATCATCAGCATCATCATCGTCAGCATAATCGTCATCAGCATCATCGTAACATTATGATTATTCTCCTTCACCATTATCGTCATCATCATCTTTGTCCTGATGATCATCATCATCATAATCATAATCATCGTCAGCATCATCATCATCATCATTAGCATCATCATCACGGAGTCACTTATACAATTACTCAATATGAATACTACTCTCCCTCTTCCCCTGATGACGGCCTGGGAGTGTCCGACCCCCCCCCCGCGTACTGTTTTTTACACACAGGTTTCCCCAGAGTTCGGTTTTCGCCTGCATTTTTTCCAAAATGCTGCTCTCACTGAGGCGCCAGCCTCATTTTCGGGCCCCGCTCGTTCCGAATCGTGCTCCCGCTGCAGCGCTGGCCTCATTTCCGCGCTTCCGCTCGTTCCGAATCGTGCTCCCGCTGCAGCGCTGGCCTCGTTTCCGCGCTTCCGCTCGTTTCGACTCGTGCTCCTGCTGCAGCGCTGGCGTCATTTCCCGTGCCATGCCACGGCGTGCAATGCAATGCTAGGTTGATACTGCGCTTTGCGGTGCTCTTCTACGCCATGCCATGCCGTGCTCTACAATGCATCGCGAACCCTTTCGGGATCATTGCCCTGCTCGACATCCGACTGTGCGAGTAGAGAGGGGATCTGCGCCATGGTAAGGGATGGGAGGGAGGGGAGGATGTCAGATATGACGCGAGCGCACCTAGCTTGACTCCTCCTCCTCCCCCCCATCCTCCGCCGCCTCCTGCTCATCATCCGCCTCCTCGTCATTTTCCTCCCTGTCTTCCGCCTGCTCCTGATCCTGTCCCTGTCTCATACCCTTCGTTCTCGTTCCCAGGACCCCACACGGACCCCAGCAAAGTCCCGAGGGTGCATCATCCGCATCAGCAGCAGCATCATCAGCATCATCATCAGCATCATCATCAGCAGCATCAAAATCATCACCAGCATCATCATCGTCAACATCAGCATCATCATGACCATGATCACCATCATCAGCTGCAGCAGCGTCATCATTGTGCTCATCATCAACAGCACAACACTAATATCATCGTCTGCAATACCACCACCACCATCATAACCATCAGCAGCATCATTATCGGCGGCGTCAGCTTGCCGTCAGAATCAGCAGCAGCATCCTCATCAGCAGCAGCACCATCATCATCACCATCATCTCCATACCCATTATCTTTACCATATTAATTGCCGTCATAGCTTGCATGTTGGTACTCAACAAAGGCATAACCATGAGCAGCAGCACCACCTCCCTCATCACTGCCAACCTCCATCATGATAGCCATCATTCCCAAATGTCAAATATTCATCGTGTTCTTCATAAGCAGCCTAGTCGCGTTCACCATCACCGTCGCCATCACCAGAATTGTCGTAAGAAGTTGTCCGAATTATCACGGTCACGACCACCAACACGACAATCACCATCATAACCAACTCCACCATTCTTTAGCGTGAAACACTGCCTGCAGGACGACGCCGGCCAGCCGAGAGCAGTCTTATTGTTTTCCATATCGGGCCGTGCAGTCAGATGCATATTTCAAGCGGTGTGCACCGCGCTCAGATGAGGGGCGTTGGTCAAACAACTCACATAATTCTGAAGCGAATCCCTCCGCTCCAGCGGTAAAAGGACGTCAAAAGTGCAAGGGCGGCGGTAAGGCGCAAGACACGCTACGGAACGGGCCGGGGCAAGACGCGCGCGCACTAGCATCCTCCACCATCTCTTAACGTGAGACACTGCCTGCAAAACGACGCCCGCCAGCCGAGAGCAGTCTCATTATTCTCCATTTCGGGCAGCGCAATCAGATGTATATTTCAAGCGGTGTGCACCAGCGCCCAGATGAGGAGCGCTGCTCAAACCACTCACTGAATTCTGAAGCGAAGCTCTCCGCTCCCAAAGCGCAAACAACTATACCATGGAGGAGAAGGGGCGGTGGTGGACTTGTCTCCCTAGACGCAAAAAGTATAGCACAGCAGACCAGGAAGAAGCCTCGAGACTTAAAAACCGCTCGCAAAAGCTGCGGCAAGAGCCCGGCAAAGACACTGTGGATATTCTTCGGCCACTCGGATTATGTAAACTCCGCTCTTGCATGAAAGCCACGTGTGGTTTACTAATTTGGGAACACCACCCCCTGCAGGGTCTACACCTGCGGCCCAGGGACTCAACTGGCAGGTAGCAGCTCACCAAGCGCGTAGGCTTCATCCACGGAGCTCCCCAGTGACAGAAGTCAGTTCTCGTTTCACGTGTTCTTCGCTTCTTTCTCACATGAATAAGTTTGGGGGCATCCCACAGTAATGATAGACACGGCGTTCCGATACAGTACGGAACCATGTGCAGAGACGCAGCGCTAATGCAATACTCACCATGGTTTTCATCGTGATGTTGCCTAGCTCGATATTCCACATCTCACTCTCGTAAAGAAGTACGGGGAGACCGAGGATGTGTTCTTTGCTTCTCAGGGGTCGGGGCCCATTAGGTCGCGTTCGAGCTCTGGACCAGGCAATGCACGGAGCACCGAAGTGAATACCCAACACAAAGCCTGACATAATCCATCGTCTGATGAATCTCACCAAGGAATCTCGAGAGCGAAGGATACCAGCACCCTTACCCAGGCGGAGTGGCAAGGGGCGGGGGGGGCGACACGCCGCGGCCGACGGCGGTTGCCCGAGTGCAGATGCGACGGCCCATGGAACATTACAAGACGCCGTCTTCTCCAGGCATCCGCTGGCGCCGAAGGCGCGCGCGCTCCAATCGGCAGAGTGACCGACCGCGCATTGGTCGCTCTCGAGCTAGAGTAGCTCTTTCGGAGGCGCGCCCACGAAGGCGCACAATCAAGCGCGCGGGGCTCGACGCGCAAAATGCGTCCTGGGCGCCCTGGGCGGGCGCCGCTGCAATCCCGCGCTCACCCCAAAACGCCCGGGGCCCCGAGCGCCAGGCGCGGTCGCCAGGGGCTGCCCCCTGGAAAACCCGCCTGGCGTCACCCCAGCTAGGTCCAGGCACGCGTCGGGGGGCGCAATCGCCGACGCGCATTGATGGTGCCCCCGGACACGTACCCGTACCTAGTCGAGGTGGCGCCTGGTCTGGATCGCTCTCGAGCGCGCGCGCGGCCCCCGAGAGCGCCGCCGAACGCGGCCGCAGCGGCCCCCTGGGGAGCGCGAAATTGCAACGACGCTCCCGCGGGCAGGCCCAAACGCAACGGAGCGGTGGCGCCCGTCACCAAATGGGACAGGCACCACCACTCCAATGCTTCTCTAGACCCCGCGGACACCCCCCATGCCCCCAGACGTCTCCGACGCAAACCAGGGCATGTCGCTGCTATCACACAACCGGCCGTTCAGCGAGTCCTTGCGTCCTGACGCGCAAATGCTGAAACAGCGCGCGCGGCAGGCTGATCGGGCGCAATGGCGAGCGCCCTATCCAGTGGACGGCCCATTTCACCCAGGCCGACCCCGGGCAAGGGTATGTTCAGGACCAATGAAGGAAGGCTCACGCATAGCATGCTTCGCGCTGAAACGAGCGTCAATCGCTATTGCCAAATACCCCATCCGTGCAACCGCTCTAGATACTCCAGCCGCGCCTGAGAAGATCCCTAAAAAGAAAGGGCGGGTCAACGCACGCGAAGGTTGGCAAGGGCCCGCAGCGGCGCGGCCGCATTCGACGGGATCCTCGGCACAGCCTGCAAACACCTCCCGGCGTAGTCTCGCATCTGAGAAGAGCATCGACCGAAGAGCTCTTTGATGCGGCCCCCCACTCTGGCACCTCCTCACGCAGCTGTCCGACGCCCAGCGGCCTCGGTGCCTGATCTCCGCGATCGACCGCCCGCCCGCCAGGAAGTCGGCGCTCGGCCCCGAGCGTCGGAGCCCGTGTATCATGACATCGCTGATCGCGTCGTCGACGCCGAACCCCCCGCGCGACCTGCGCCGCGCTCTCGCCCAGGGCCACCGACCCTACGGCGGCCAGATACCCGGCGGGGGGCCGAAGGCGTCGGAGTCGCAGTCACGCTGCAGCCAACGGCGGCCAGTCGACCATCACCGCCTCGGCGAGCTCGCCGGTCTTGGAGCCCACTCCCTGTTCGCACGGGCGCAGCGCCAGCGTCGCCGCGGCCCCCCGTCCGCCTGCGCCGACTGGAGGGTGCGCCATGCCGCAGGTCGGGCGAGACAGCTCGCCTGGGCGCAAGTAGCACTGGCGAGCCACCAGGGTCGCCACACCCTGTTGAAGCCCCCCTCGCGCGACCAGCTCGTTCGCCAGCACGAAGAGGAGGCTCTCGGGCGCGGGCGGCCTCGACCCGCCCGGCGCCAAGCGCCGCAGCGCGATGGAACATGTCCTCGCCCTGGGAGGGTCGACGACCCGCTTGCCCACGCTCGCGAAGGCCCACGGAAGGGCCGCCAGCAGCCGGCTGCCCTCGCCCCCAGCCGCCCCCTCGAAGAACTCCTCGTCGAGGCGCTCGGCCACCGCCGCGCCCAGCGCCACCGCGCTCACCTGACCGAAGAAGCCGATATGAGCGACACCTGAACCTCGTCAAGCTCCGCGCCTGCCATGCTTGGGTCGATCGCCATCCCCGACCGCCCCGCCAGCCGAGCCAGCCTGCGCGGGCGCGACTGCCTCGCGGGCGCCCGCGCCACGATGGACCCCGGCACCGCGCTCGAACTCCCCCGCGAGCGTCTCGCCTCCGACGAGCCCGACGCTGGACGCGCGCCAGCGTCGACGCGGGAGCTCGCGCGGAGCCCCAGCCACGCCGATAGGGCCCGCCACGGGCCGACGCACCAGCACGCCGTAGCCCACGCAGGGGAGGGGGCGGGCGCCAGCCACGTTCACCTCGCTAGGCACCCATCGCAAACACAGCTGGACGCCCCATCGAAGGAAGACCGAAGCCAACTGGCGAGCGACACGGAACTGCCCAGGCGCACTCGACCGCCCTTTTTGAACCGACTACACCGCACCAATGGAATCCGTGAGAACAAGGACCCGCTTCTGGACGCACTCTCTGCTCTCGGCGATTTTCCTCGCGACCCCCACCAGCGCTCGGCCCAAGACAAGCGACGTGCTCGACGCGCCCCCAGGCCCGGCTGCCCCCTGCGCGCCACTTCGCGCGCAACAGGCTTCCATGAAGGCCAGGAACGGGAAGAACCCTACAATTGACAATCTCTGGAGCCCCATCGCCTGGTCTTTCGCCTCTGCGACCCCCTTCAAAAGCACAGCCCGAGGATTGGCTCTGCCTCCTCCCTCGAATTGCCATTGATCAGACCACCGAGTAGATTCGCCCGATACCTGCGCGAGCGGCCGCGAGGCGCATGTCCCAGGACCCCACGGAGACGCGTCGCACGCAAAAGCCTTCGGGCCGCAGGGCTCGGCGAGGTCACGCTCGACGAGGGGGTCAACGCCCGGGCCCGCCAGAGCCCCCCGAAGCACGGCAGGCCATCATTTGGAGGGCCGATCTGGGCATTTCTCGGTGAACACGCACACGGCGCGAAAGCGCGACTGCACCTCGCGTCAAAGCATTGCCCGATGAGCAACGTGCCCCAAGACCCTCCGCAGCGCCCTTCCCGAACAGCGACGACGTCTCAAGTGGAAACTCCAAGGACAGCCACGCCCCCCATCGCCTCGCACGCCGGAGAACGAAACGGCGCCCCCCGACGACACTGGCGACGTCGACCTCGTGAGCCTCGACGCCAGAACTCCGAACCGCAGCCAACGACCTCTCCGCGATGTCCCGACAGACGTCCGGGAAAGTGGAGAAAACGCCGACGTTGTCAACGTTGACCGAGACGGAGCCATTTTCATGTCACGAGCTCGTAATGGCCTGGCTCAAGATCCTCTCGCGAATGGTCGGGCACCAATACAAAGCGGGGACCCAACCCATCAGCGCGACTGCCCATCGGGGCCGGGCCACGCCGTCATCGCAGACGACGCCGGGAAGCAGCTTCTTCAACCATGCATCCTCGACTGGGGGCCAATGCGAAATCCCCACAAACTGAGAGGCGTTCAGAACTGGAAGAAAACGTCGTGAAATCAGACTGCCCAACATACAGCTGCTCGCCGACCTCGAGCCGCATTCTCGACAGAGCCCCCGACGTCGGCAACTCCACAGGATCGCAACTCGAGAAAAAAACAATTTGACTGCCGACAGTCGGCAACCAGGCGCTGCGCGCCACTCCTCTTGCGCACAGTGAACAGGCCCACGCAAGCATCGCCCTCCTGAGCGAACTCCATCACGCCCCGAGTGCGCAACATATGCAGGAGGAGGGCGGACCGCCGAGCAGACCTGCGCAGCCCTGGGTCGTGACTGATCTTCACGCCATTTGCTTCAAAACTCCCCTCGCCACCTGAGTTTGGCAGCGCGTGCTCTCGCATCCACCCCTGGACTCCCCCGCGACTATTCGGGCCCAGAAGATGACGCACGTCAGCGGGGGCCGCCCCAACCGGCCTGAGCGACAGCAGGGACTCGTCCAGGGGAACTGCCAGCGATGACTGACCGAAGCAGTCACACCAACTATCGATGCCCGAAAAAAACCTCGGCCGGCTGAGCTCCAGCAGGGGGGGTCGCCCATCCTACCTGCAACGCTCTCGGAGTTAACTCTCTCCGCCCTCACCCAAAAAATCAGCAGCGCCCGCAGGGGGGCTAGAGGCCCCAACAGGATGCATCTCAGCGAGGGCGGTCGCGGCGTCGTGGCTGAGGCTAGTCGCCGCGGCTCTGGAGACCGAGAGACCGCTCAGCCCAGGAGGCCGAATCTGCGCACAAACAGAGGACGTTGGCCCCGATGCTTTTACCCGAGGTTCAGATGCCCAGGGCCCCGCCGACAAAAGTAGCCGACTCGACGGACGCTCCGAATTAAGCGTCTTGCCAGACGGACCTCGCTGCACTGCTGGCTGACGGAGGAGGCCATCTCCACCGGCCGCGCGCGCGCTCATGTCGCGTCGGCCCCATCACGGCCTCCACCCCCCTTGCCTGGGGCCTAGCGAAGGAGGGCTCGCTCTTCTCGTGCTTTGCTGGCCCCCTTCTGGATCCACAACTCCCCTTCGAGTTATCCGCTCAGGTGCTCGACCAGACTTGGCGAGCAGCACACTGTCGGGTTGACCTGCTGGCGCCCTTCGAACAGGTCCATCTCATCGCGCGCGATGAACGCACTGCCAGCTACGCCTGCGGCAGCTCCAGCAGCGCCCCCGCTCTCCATCTCGCACTCTGTCATCATAATCATCATAATGGCACTCGATGGTCTGCAGCCGTCTGGCCACCTTCTCAACCACCATAAGGTTCGACAGGTCGAGCTGATCTGTGCTGCCCGCCGCCTCGAGATACGAGCACAACTGGCCATGCTCGGACACTCCCCAGTCGGATGCGTTGAGCTTCGCCGTAGCCCGCCACCACCGATGATGATTTTCTGGGTCACTGCTGCGGCGAGCCATGATTCTAGTCACCCAGGTTGCTGCACGTGGCCCCTTCACCTGTCAATGGTCCATCGCACTCTCGCTGATCGTCTCGGCGACGCTGCACCACGGCCGGAAGCGCTCGCCTGCTGGATGGAACTTCACCGTCATCACCCTGGCATCGATGGCTCCAGCACGCGCTCGCTTCCACTGCTCGACCGTCGCCCTGGGCACGCCCTCTACCGTCAGGATGTCCCCTCCGGAAAGCACCAGCCCTCTCTTGTCGAGGACCACCTCTGGGACGGCCAGACACTCGTCTCCGATGGCGACGGTGGCAGTCGACTCCGTGAAGAGCCAGACCTGGGGCACCGCCCCAGCCGCAGGAATCGCGCCGCCGCCGAGCGCCACAAGATCAGCCGCCTCCTCCATCCTTTATGAGGGCTGCTGGTCGGGCGCCCGGCCAGCACCGAAGTTGTGGATGCTGGCACCTCTCAGGCTCACCAAAATGGTACCGTCAGGGCGAAATGCACGGACACCGGTCACATCTCCGTTCAGCTGTCCGCAGTCTTCTTCATACATCTCTGCATTTGGAATGTAGGTGATCCACCGTGCACCTGCCACCTGAGCGAGCAGAGCGCGGACGTGCCACAAATCGTCATCAGATCCTGGCGCCCACGACGACAACACTGCCGCCTGAGCGCCCGGGGCCGCGGGGCCCGCCAAAGGCAGTGCCGCCGCCATCGTTCAAGGCGTGCACGCGAGGGGCAGCACGAACGGGGGGGAGCCTGCCAACGACGACGCCGACCGCGAAGGCCACGTAGTCCTGCTGGCGACAGTGCTGGCGGCCTGGCCCTTGAGCTGCTGGGCGACCAGGCGCTCGAGCGCGGGACACTCGCCCTCGTTCGAGCTCACGCACTGACACTGGCAGGATGGGCAGTCGTGGACGGGCGCCACTGGCTGCCAGAAGAGACTATGCAGACCAAACAGAAAGTCTCGGGTGAGCGTGTACAAGAGCAAAAAATCCACTGGCATGTGCATCCAGGGACCCCCTTTGAGCAACACACGCTACGGAACGGGCTGAGGCAAGACGTGCGCGCACTAGTATCATCACCATCATCACCGCCATCATTATTCCCCAGACTCCCTCACCTCCTCCTCCTCCTCCTCCTCCTCCTCCTCCTCCTCCTCCTCCTCCTCCTCCTCCTCCTCCTCCTCCTCCTCCTCCTCCTCCTCCTCCTCCTCCTCCTCCTCCTCCGCCTCCAACTTCTCCTCACCCTGCTCCTCCCTCCCCCCTCCCGTCGTCCTCCTCGTCCTCCGACGACGACGGCGAGGACGCCGACGACGACGCCGACGCCGACATCCGTGCCGCGGCCCAAGCAACCCAAGCTCGCCGAGGACCGCCGAAAACGGGGATCTGCTGACACGGGGCAATCCAGACCCCGGCCAGTCAGGCATTGCAAAATCCTGCAAGATCCTGCGAGATCCAGCCAGACCCGGGTCAATGCGACCCTGGCCCTGCAGGATCCTGCAAGATCCTGCGCTCTGGCTGACCCCTTTTTGCATCGCCGAGGGCCCCCGAAGGCCGCCGAGGGCCGTCGGGGGCCACCTCCACGGGCCGCTGCCCAAGCAACCCAAGGAGGAGGAGGAGGAGGAGGCGGAGGAGGAGGCAGAGGAGGAGACGGAGGAGGAGGAGGCAGAGGAGGAGACGCAGGAGGAGGAGGCGGAGCAGGAGGAGGAGGAGGAGGAGGAGGCGGAGGAAGAGGCGGAGGAGGAGGAGGAAGCGGAGGACGAGGAGGAAGAGGAGGAGGAGGAGCAGGAGGAGCAGGAGGAGCAGGAGGAGCAGGAGGATGAGGAGGCTCGCCGAGGGCCGCCGCAGGCCGCCGAGGGCCGCCGGGGGCCACCTCCACGCGCTCCACGGGCGCCACGTACACCTCGCTCTGCAGCGGCGGCCCACGGTCGCGCGGGCGCGCGGTCACGAGCACCTCGGCGGGACGGGAGGGCCCACGGCGCCCACTCCCATTCGATGGGCAGGCGGGTGGGGGGCAGGAGAGACAGGATAGGGAGAGAGGGAGGGAGGGAGGAAGGGAGGAAGAGAGAGAGGGGAGGGAGGAAAGAAGGGAGGGAGGGAGAGGAGGAGGAGGAGGAAGAGGAGGGGGAGGAGGATTCTAAGACGCTACGCTTCCTTTCGGGG